TTTCCTTCATCTCTCTGTCCCTCCAATCTCAGGAGCACCCAGAATCCTTTTGTGGAACTTTTGGATCTAGAAGAGTTGCTAATTTTTCCGTCTGTTCAGCTTTGTGTTGTTAGATTATAGTGGTAACTTCAAGCACCTTACCTGTGGAACACACACACACACACAAAAAGATCATTCTTTTTTATTGCTTAGTAATATTCTGTTGTACAGGTATACTATAATTTGTTTCTCCATTTGCTAGTAACATTTGGTTTGTTTCCAGGTTTTTTGCTATTATCCACAAATTTCTATAAACATTCATATCCAAGGTTTTAAACATTTATTTATGTATTTATTTGGCAGGGAGGGGCAGAGGGAGAGAATCTTCAAGGAGACTCCCCTATGAGTTTGGAGCCCAACCTGGGGAGAGGGAGGCTCGATCTCACAACTCATGAGATCATGACCTAAGCCAAAACCTAAAGTTGACACTCAAATGACCTGAGCCCCACCTCCCCCAGGTTTTAGATGAGTATATGCTTTCATTTCTATTTTTTAAATACCTGGTAGCAGGGACATCTGGATGGCTCAGTGGTTGAGTACATCTGGGTGGCTCAGTGGTTGAGTGTCTGCCTTTGGCTCAGGGCCCCTGGGATCGAGTCCCACATTGGGCTCCCTGCATGGAGTCTGCTTCTTTCTCTGCCTATGCCTCTGTGTCTCTCATGAATAAATAAATAAAATCTTAAAACAAAAATACCTGGGAGCAGAAGACTAGATTATACTGTAGATATCTATTTACTATTTTAAGCATCTGCCAGTCTCTTTGCTGCTTTAACGATTTACCACAAACTGAGTGGCTTAATAACAACATAGATTTCTCTATTGCATATCTATATCTCAAAAGTCTAAAATTAATTTGTCCACGGGTCTGTATTCCATCCAGTGGGTCTAGAGAAGAATCCACTGCTTTCCTTTTTTAGTTTCTAGGCTTCCTGTGTTTTGGCTGCTGCCCTCTTCCTGAGGGCACTTTGACCTCTTCTTTTATCTTATCTTGTACTGTTGACTCTGATCCTCCTGCCTTCCTCTTAAAAGGATCCTTGTGATGACAATGATCCCACCTGAATAATCCAAGGCACTCTCCTGAATCTCTGCAATTTTGCAAATAATAACCTCTGCAAAGTCCCTTTTAGGTTATAAAGTAATATATTCATAGGTTACAGATTCCAGGGATTAGAATCTTTGAGGGGCCATTATACAACCTACCAAGGAAATTATACATTGTCTTCCAAGGAAAGCATACATTTTATATTCCCTTCAGTAGTGTAAAATGGTTCTACTTCCTGCACATCTTCACTAACACTTAGTCATAGTTAATAGTTAATAGTCATTTTAATTTACATTTTTCAAATAATGATAGATGTTGAATGCTTTTATGTACTTTTTTATTTTCTATATTTTTAGGTAAAGTGTCAGTTCAACTGTTTTCCCCATTTATTTGTTGGGCTTTGGGCTTTTTTTATTTTTGAATTTTGAGCATTCTTTGTGTATTCTAGATATAAGTCCATTATCAAATATGATTTGTAATCTGTTATTAAATATTTCTAGCTTGTCTCTTTTTTCTTAAAATATATTTTAAACATATTTTAATGATCTTAAATGAGCACTAAATGATGTATTTTACAAGTTCAACTTCATCAAGTTGTATATGTTAAACATGTACAACTTTTTGTATCTCAGTCATACCTCAATAAAGTGGTTTAAAAATGAACATAACATAACAACAGAAACATGAATGTATTATGGTTATATTTCACAAAAAGTGAAAAATATCTGTATATCAAAGTCTATAAAACATTACTGAGATGAACTCATCAACACAGAGATATACAGAGTGTACAGGTCAGAAGAATCAATGTTGCTATGATACCCATTTTCCCCAGTTCTTCTAAAGAATCAATGTAATTGTAATCAAAATCCTCATAGCCTTTTAAACATGAAATTTTAGGGTAATTATAATTTTTTAAAGATTTTACTTATTTTATTTATTTGAGAGAAATGAGGAGAGGGAGTGAAAAAGAGAGCACAAGTTGGGGCAATGGCAAAAGGAGAAAGAAGGAGACTCCCAGTGACCAGAGAGCCCTATGCAGGGCTCAATCCTAAGACCTCAAGATCATGACCTGAAGCAAAGGCAGGCACTTAACCATCTGAGCCACCCATGCACCCTGAGGTAATTATAAATTTTTTATATATTTAAATATAAAAAATGAAACACCTAAAATAATTCCAAAAATTAAAAACACACACACAAAAAAAAAATAAAAGAAGAGCAGAGCTGAAGGACTAACAATACCTGATTTCAAGACATAAATTTCAGTAATTGGGGTGCCTGTGAGGTCATGATCATGGGGTCCTGGGATCAAGCCCCACATTGAATTCCTTGCTCAGTGGGGAACCTGTTTATCCTCTCTCCCTCTCAAATAAGTAAATAAAATCTTTTAAAATATAATAAATAAATCAAGACAATGGGCTTATTGGTAGAAAGATGATCAAATAGATGAATGTAATAAACCAAAGAGCCTAAAAATAGACCCACAGACACGTAGACAAATGGATTTTTGACAAAAGCACAAAGGCGATTCACTAGAAAGAATGAACTTTTCAACGAATGGTGTTTGGGCAACTGGATATTCATAAGCAAAAAAAGAACTTCAACTCATATTTCACACCATATATAAAACTTGATTCAAGTTGGATTATAGACCTAAGTGTAACAACTAAGACTATAAAACTTTGAAAAGAAAACATAAGAGAGAAGTATTTTTGACCGTAAGTTAGGGAAAGATTTTTAGGTATGGTACCAAAAGCTCAATCAATAAAGAAAGAAAAAAATCATAAATCAAAATAATAAAAATTTAAAACTTTTGCTTTTAAATGTTTACTTAATCTTGTCATTCTTTGAAATGGTTTTATCCAATAAACCATTATTGTCATCCAATAATATTTATATAAAATATATTTTAAATATATTAAATACTGATATTAAATCAGTATTAAGTAATGTATTTTATTATAGACCCTTCAGGAAACTTATTATTAAATAATAGATTTTAGAGTGATTATGGAAAAAAAGATTCCATGCATATGTGAAGCTCCAGTTATTTGCTAACAACTTTTATAGGTACAATCTTCACCTACTTCTTCCCCCAAATATTGGTGCTTAGGCTTTTAAAATTATAGATGATGTTATAATTGCATTAAAAATAATCACCAATATATCATATAGTTGTTGAAATATATTTTTTAAATTAAAAAAATAGATGAGAATGACTGTTGATTCAATAAGTTTTAAAACTTTTACAGAAAAGAGCAAATACCCTGAAGTACACACTTTCCTCTCTTAGAACTGTGTTTGTTTATGGAGAATATCATCTATCATGCCCTGTTATGTAAGAAGACAGACATTGTTTTGGTAAATGTTCCTATTCCAATCAATTTAAGTTTCTGTAAAGTCAGTGCTTTGTAATGTAAAATCATTTTATGTATCAGATAATTTCTCGACTCAAAGTATAGCATTACATGATGTTTTCTTAATACAGTTTACATCTGTCATGTTGAATGCTTCACATGCTGTAGAGAGCTCCACTGTCATTTAATACACTCAAGGGAAATTCTGCTTCACCATTAATCTTATTTGTAAAGCATGTTTGCATTAACCTTTAAATCTTCTTCATAAAATAAAACCAAGAAAAAAAAAAAAACAGTAAGCAGATTGCTTACAGATCACTGTAGATGGAAACACAAATGTCAGTGTCAATGCTGGAGTGCTTCGAATGCATTGCTATCTTAGAGAAGACGAACTCAATCCTTTTGGTCCCCAAACCAGTTTTTGGATAACAAACATTCTATCCTATTTTGGAATAAAAGTCATACCTAGCGGAAAACAAACAGGCAAAAAACAATCTGCAAAGAAGATTTTAAAATAAAAATGATATTGTTAGGATTAACAATAATATAAATGAAGAATAAAATAATTATGATTTCAAAATATGTATTTCCATGCATAATGTTGAGGCATAACCATATAGAAATGGGAAGGTATTCAGATTTTCAAATCAATTTACGGTGTATTCATTCACTCAATTAAAATGTTTATTGCTCATCTACTGTGTATAAGTGTCTGTTGTAGACACTGTGAATACAGCAGTGAAGTAATCCATGGGATTATAGCAAGGGGACAGAATATAACCCCCCAATAAATAAATGAAGTACTCATAGTAATTTGGTGTATATGGAATACAAGGAAAGGTTTTAAGACAGAGCTGAAGGAGACAGGAAACTGAGAAACACAGTAGCAAAAAAAGAAAAAAACAGATATAAGCACAGGCCCCAGCCCCACCTCTTCCACTCTCTTCCACCACCCATTGTCTAAATAAATTAATTAATTACTTAATAATAATAAATAAACATTTAAATGTCATTGCTTTGCCAACAGATGTGTTTTCTATAGTGTGTTTGAATCACTATTTTGTTTTCAATGTTTCAATTTATGTTAAATTACTCTGAAAAACTTAACATGCAGAATTAACTACATTTTCATTTTATATAGGGATAATAATTCTTGAAACCTGTTGTAATGACAAAAGAAAAAAAATAGATAAAAGCATAATATGCCCCTTCCTTAGAACTATTTGAAAGAAATTATTTCCCATGGTCTTTTCATAAATTTAGACATGTTACTAGACAGGTATGTTTCCCAAGGCTAATCATTATTTTATATAAAAGAGGGAAAGTAAACATTTTAGTTGCTATTAGTTAATTTCTATCACGTTAAGTTTAAAGTGACAGGTAACATTCATAATGTTGTCCACTGACTTTTTTCATTTGTTTGTTTGTTTGAAGTTTTTGGAGACATGTCCAAGGCGTTGATGAGATGTTGGAAACCAGTTGAGACACAGTAAAATTCAACCCAATAAAATAAGACTGCTTTCTCTTCATCCACGTTGGAAATTTTCAAGAAGTGAACTATGACAATATATCAATTTTTGGTACTATTTCTACTCTGGGTATGCCTGCCACATTTCTGTTCTCCAGAGATAATGTTCAGAAGGACTCCTGTGCCCCAGAAGAGAACTTTAGGTACACGTGTACCTAGGAGTGATGGCAAAATTCTGCATCGTCAAAAACGTGGGTGGATGTGGAATCAATTTTTCTTACTGGAGGAATATACAGGATCTGATTATCAATACGTGGGCAAGGTAAGTCTGCACTGAAATGTCAAATATTTACATTCTTTCTTTACATGTCTTAGTAAGGAAAATTTGAAGGTTTCTAATAAATTTGATTATCTAAATATCCCTAAAGCAATTATTGTTTATGGAATACACATGGTAATTTGAAAAACTATGGAATATGTAAATACAGCATGATAAAGGTAGAAGTTCATTTGCTAGAATTAACTCTGTCCATTTCCTTATGGATTAAATAAGTACTAAAAATTGCACTTTTAGGATTCATAGTGATAGTGAGAAAACTATGTCAAGATAGCTGCTTAAAATGACATATTGCTCTTGATTTCAGTAGGAAGAAAAGATATTTTAAAGGTTGTTTAATATTCTACAGAATGAGAAGGCAAATGTCATTAAAAATATGACCTAAGGACAAAAATCAGCTTTTTGATAAGAAAATGTATTCCGGATATGAGTCTGATTTGTTTTTCTTTTATCTCACACTATGGGCACATTTGTATAAAGGAAAAATAAATAGAAGAGAAGCAGGTAGAAGTAGTTTACTTGTGATATGTGCACAGAAACAAGTTTTCATTCTATTCAATAATAAAAGTTAGTGAGGAAAAATAGTTATGGTTGAGAATGAAATGAAAAGTAATGATGAATGTTTTTATATACTGCATTGTATTCATTTTCAGTGTTCTTTTTTGGCACTATCTGAATGTACTAGAAGTTAGATAATGTCTTAAGAAAGTTCATTTTAATAGCCTTGGTTATTTTTATGGACAGTATAAAAATATATCAAAGAAAACTGAGAAATACACTAGTAAAATAAAACCAAATATAATCACATGTTAATCCATCATTTGTTAACACTGTAAAATTAGGTCACATACTCCTATACAAATTATGATACCATGATGGAGAATTTTGTATTAACCTAAACTTTAATAGCTTTGTTCAAATAATTAAAATTGTACTAGAAGTTTTTATCCTCTAAGAAAAACTATTTTTAAACTATTTTTTAAAAACTATTTTTGAAAGAATTTTTTCATTGATTTTAAAACACTTGGCTATGTTTGTTCATGTTCCAATTATTTCAGTCCTTTTTAAATGTCTGGCAACATGACAAAGATGAAATTAAAGGTTAGATGTTGTATTGACTAGAAGAAGGAGGAAAAGCAACAGCAATCAGAGTAATCTTACCAGAAAGCACATAGTAGCAGACATCGCAGGTCGCGCCTGATTGGATGCGTAAGATCAGAGGGTTGAGGTAAATGTTATGGTTGTTGTGATAGTAACTTTTAGTTCATGAAAGCAATCACATGAAAATGTAATAAAAGAAATCTAGACCCAAGAAACTATAAAGTAAGTAGTTCCCCTTTGGTTCTTCCTAAACATAGCACTTAAGTTTGGTTTATTTGCAAGTGTTTTCCATCATCTAGTACATTTTAATGAGGATTTAATAAGTGTTGAAAAATTACTATTACATTATATAGTCTCTTATGATAGTCCAGTGACTTGAGTACTTTTATTTGTTGTCTCTCAGGAGAATGTCAGCACTTTGAGATCAAGACCTTTACTGTAGAGTTCACTTGGTCTCTATCGCTTTGAGTAGAGCTTAAGATTTAGTTGATTGAATTAGTTGCAGTGAACTGAATTCCCAGAATCATCTGATACTACTTGGCTCTTTGGTGGGGAAAACAAGTCGAGAATTTACATTCCTAAGGGCAATTGAAACTGGCAAATACTTACAATGTATGCATCTTGACATATACAACCCAAATATTATTCTTCCTTTTCTGCGTGATAGAAGCAAATTAGAAACCTTTTTCAGATGTAAATGTACACATCTGCATATGTCAAAAAGGCAATGTGCAATATAGAATATTTTAATAGACATAAATTAAAATGAATATACAAAATTCCAAATCCCCTAAGTATTCTTTCCAACAGTACTTACGATAAATGTATTATATATTCATCCTTCCTTTCAGAAACTTCACTTCCAGTTTTTACTACCCTTAACATAAGAGTGTAATACTGATGCTAAGTGATTCAATGCCTCTAGGTTAGCTTAGAGGTGGTGGTAGTGTTCTACTTATTGACATATGGGAAGACGATAGACACTCCATTGGAATGGGAAATATTTGGGGAACTGAGAATAAGAACAATAGAGAGAATTATACTGATGGAGTGAGGACAAGCCTGAAGCACATATGCAAAGAAGGAGAACATTTTTTTTTTTAAATAACAATCTGCCAACCACATCCTATAAAGAATGGACGACTTGTAATTTCTACATAAAAAAACACTACTTAGGGAGTTAAAACAGAGGGAAAAACCAATTGCTTCTCATTGGGTAAGAGCTTAGGAAAAGACTGTAACCAACCATCAGTGGAACTAGGATGTAACCTTGTTTCTACCACTATTTTTCTCACAGTTATTAAAAAAAAAAAAGCCAACCGAAAATGAACTCAAGCATTTCTTTGTTCAGCTCTCAATGATCAAAAGATTCCTCTATGTCATGCAATCAAATACATTCTAAACCAAAATGTTTGTTGTAAGTTATTTTTTTTCTTTTCAGTGAGATAATCACAAAATTGACTTTACCTTCCATTCCAAGGGGTCTAAAACTTGAACTCCAAGTGATCCATTGCTGTACTACGTTGCTTTCATTTTGCAACCTTCTACAGCTGTATTATAGTTTTCTAATTTGAAAAACATTGTGATTATAAACTACTTTTGTTGCTTTAAGCATAACTCTTAATCACAGTTTCTCACTGCCTGATTCAGTTGCCCTGGACAAATAATTTTGAATCTCTAGCTTCCAAATATTCAATAGAATAAATAATGACATTGAACTAGATACTCTTGAATTTACTTTTAGTATAATAGATATAGAGTTCTAAGAGAAATACTCATTTTATTTACTGCAAAAATTTTGTCTGCATTTTATATAATTATTCTCAAGTGGAGAAGAGTATGTTAAAATTAGATTTTTAATCAAAACCAGATACTGAGAAGAATCCCCAAACACCAAAAATTTAATAACGTACTTGGGTAACAATAAGGTTGATTCTGAGTCAGCATAGTAAGACAATTCACCCCAGGCAGTGAAAACACAAAAATACTTTAAAAATAATTAGGGTAACTATCTACATTTCTCGATATAATGAAAAGAACCAGGTGATGGTAGGTGAGGGGGTTGCTACTGGCGTCTAGTTGCCAGAACCCAAGGATATTGCTAAAAATCCTACGATGCACAAGACAGACCTCCATAGAATTTTCTAGTTCAAAGCATAAGTAGTGCCAAGACAGAGAAACCCTGTCCTAGTTTGCCCGTCGTTTACATTTTCCTAAACAGCTCAATCTTTATTTTAGTTCTTTCTGGGTTCTTACTTCCGAAACTGCTCTCAGTTATAATTTTATTTCTTCTTTCCAGAATTGCCACGAGTATTTGGTTTTTGAAACTTAGATTTCTTTCAAGGTCTCCTCTCCTTCATGTCTTATCTAATCCTTAGGGTATGCATTTGGCTCCAGCCTCTCGATCATCCTTCTCTGTAGACTTGTGGGCTCCGCAAGGCTGCTAGGAATGAAGTATGCATTCATTCTTTCAATAAATATCTACATGTACCAATCAGGTACTACTACTGCATTAAGTGTACAGTGGCAAAAATATAATTTCTCTGCTCACAAAATATCTGCTTTTAAGAGAAGGAGAAAATAATAAATAGAGCTAACAGCAGGTTAATCTCTGATAGAGCACAGAACCCAAAAGCCAAGAAGAGAAAAATAAATGCCAAATAATCCCCATCTTCTATCTCTGCAGTACTGTAAATAAAGTGGAATATTCCTCAGCCATTAGAAATGACAAATACCCACCATTTGCTTCAACATGGATGGAACTGGAGGGTATTATGCTGAGTGAAATGAGTCAATCGGAGAAGGACAAACATTATATGATCTCATTCATTTGGGGACTATAAATAATAGTGAAAGGGAATAAAAGGGAAGGGAGAAGAAATGTGTGGGAAATATCAGAAAGGGAGACAGAACATAAAGACTCCTAACTCTGGGAAACGAACTAGGGGTGGGGGAAGGGGCGGAGGGCGGGGGGTGGGGGTGGATGGGTGACGGGCACTGAGGGGGGCACTTGACGGGATGAGCACTGGGTGTTATTTTGTATGTTGGCAAATTGAACACCAATAAAAAATAAATTTATTATTAAAAATAAAAAAACGGTTTTGGGATTGGCATTGCATAGATCAATAACATTGAAAGTTAGAATGGACAGTCGAGGTATATCTTTTTATTTTTTATTTATCTGTTGATATTTCTTTGGAGGTATTTGGATATACAAAGCTTCATAAAAGATGATTGTTGAACATTTCTAGAAGGATTTTCCAAAAACTGAATAAAACATGATCCGTGAAAGAATGACCCAGTTTTAAAGAGAATACCAGAAATACCAACTGTGCCCATCTTATTAGACCATGTTCCTTTTGCCATTAAAAATATGAGTGCAGGGGCAGCCCGGGTGGCCCAGCGGTTTAGTCCCTTCAGCCCAGGGCCTGATCCTGGAGACCCGGGATCGAGTCCCACGTCGAGCTCCCTGCATGGAGCCTGCTTCTCCCTCTGCCTGTGTCTCTGCCTCTCTCTCTCTCTCTCTCTCTCTCTCTCTCTCTCTCTCTCATGAATAAATAAATAAAATCTTTAAAAAAAAGTGAGTGCAATCCAGTCAAACCTGGTTACAGTGGAGCAGTGGAGAAATAGTTGGAACTTGGATAGAGATAAGAAACTGCCCCAACCTTCCCATTACCGTCTTCCTGGGGTGAACAGATCTGAATTGAATACGTGGAGAAACTTATGCTACATATGAGTTCAGAGAATTGCAAACATTTTAATGGACACTGAATATTCTCTTCAGAGAATTGGATAGTTTAATAACTGTCATGATATTGTTCTCGAAGCTAAAAATCCAGGTGACTTTTTTTTTAGTCCAAATATGACCAAAAAGACCTACATTA